CTGAGAGAGGTGTGTGGTACAGCAACTTGCTGAGAGGGGTTTTGTGTACGGGCAGCTTGCTGAGAGAGGTGTGTGGGTACAACAGCTTGCGAGAGAGTGTGTGGGTACAGCAGCTTGCTGAGAGAGGTGTGTGGGTACAGCACTTGCTGAGAGAGGTGTGTGGGTCCCAAGCATGCTGAGAGAGGTGTGCGGGTACAGCAGCTTGCTGAGAGGGGTTTGTGGGTACAGAGCTTGCTGAGAGAGGTGTTTTGGGTGCGCTTGTTTGAAGAGTGGTTGGGTCGCAGCGCTTGCTGAGAGAGGTGTGTGGGTAACAGCAGCTTGCTGGGGAGAGGTGTGTGGGTACAGCAGCATGTGAGAGGAGGTGGGTGGGGTAACAGCATCCTTGCTGAGAGAGGTGTGTGGGTACAGCAACTGCTGAGAGAGTTGTTTGGGTTACAGCAGCTTGCTGAGAGAGGTGTGCGGGTATACAGCTTGCTGAAAAGAGGTTGTGTGGGTTTACAGCAGCTTGCTGAGAGAGGTTTGTGTGGGTACAGCAGCTTGCTGAGAGAGGTTGGTGGGACAGCAACATTGCTGAGAAGAGGTGTGTGGGTAACAGCACCCTTGCTGAGAGAGGGTGTGGGTACCAGCTTGCTGAGAGAGGTGTGTGGGGTACAGCAGCTTGCTGAGAAGGTGTGTGGGTACAGCAGCTTGCTGAGAGAGGGGGTGGGGGGTTACAGCAGCATTGCTGAGAAGGGGTGGCGGGGTTTTACAGCGCTTGCTGAGAGGGGTGGGGCGGGTACAGCAGCTTGCTGAGAGAGGTGTGGGCACAACAGCTTGCTGAAAAGAGGTGTGTGGGTACGCGCTTGCTGTAGAGGGTTGTGTGGGTACAGCAGCATGCTGAGAGAGGTGTGATGTGGGTACAGCAACTTGCTGAGAGAGGGTTTGGGGTACCAGCAGCATGCTGAGAGGGGTGTGTGGGCACGCAGCTTGCTGAGAGAGGTTTTGTGGGTACAACGCTTGCTGAGAGAGGGTGTGGGTACGCACTTGCTGAGAGGGTGTGTGGGTACAGCAGCTTGCTGAGAGAGGGTGTGGGACGCAGCATGCTGAGAGAGGTTCGGGTACAGCGCTTGCTGAAGAGAGTTGTGCGGGTACGCAGCTTGCTAGAGAGGTGTGTGGGCACAGCGCTTGCTGAGAAAGGTGGGGTGGGTACAGCAACTTGCTGAGAGAGGTGTGTGGGTACAGCACGTGAGAAGAGGTGTGTGGGTACAGAAATTGCTGAGAAGAGGGTGTGGGTACAGAGCTTGCTGAAGGGTGTGTGTACAACAGCTTGCTGAAGAGGTGTGGGGTACAGCAGCTTGCTGAGAGAGGGTGTGTGGGTACAGCAGCATGCGGGAGAGAGGTGTGTGGGTACAGCAACATGCTGAGAGGGGTTTTGTGCGGGGTACAGCAGCTTGCTGAGAGAGGTTGTGCGGTACGGGGGGCTTGCTGAGAAGAGGTGTGGGGGCACAGCAGCTTGCTGAGAGAGGGTTTGTGGGTACGCAGCATTGTGAGAGAGTGTGGGGAAACAGCAACTTGCTGAGAGGGTGTGTGGGTACAGCAGCATGCTGAGAGAGGTGTGGTGGCACAGCAGCTTGCTAGAGAGGGTGTGGGGAACAACACTTGCGGGAGAGAGGTGTTGTGGGTACAGCAGCTTGCTGAGAGAGGTGTTTTGGGAAACAGAAAGTTTGGGCTGAGAGAGGTTGTGGGTACAGCAGCATGCTGAGAGAGGTGTGCGGGTACAGCAGCTTGCTGAGAGAGGTGTGCGGGTACAGCAGCTTGCTGAGAGAGGTGTGTGGGCACAGCAGCTTGCTGAGAAAGGTGTGTGGGTACAGCAACTTGCTGGGGAGAGGTGTGTGGGTACAGCAGCTTGCTGAGAAAGGTGTCATGGTGATATCGAGGCTGTGATCTGTACTACAATGCTACTGCTGTGTACTTGTAACAGTGGTTGGTAACTGTTGCTGCTGTTGTTACTGTTGTTTTTTCTTGTGTGGTGTTGTTGTTATTGTTTTTCTGCTGTTCTTGTTGTTGTCGCTGTTGTTGATTGTTGCACTTGTCGTTTGTTGCTGTTTTTTTGTTGCTGTTGTTTTTGTTGTTTGTTCCTGTTATTGTTTTTCTTGTTTGTTGCTGTTATTATTTTTCTTTGTTTGTTACTGTTACTGTTTGTTGCTGTTATTTTGTTGTTTGATGTTTTTAAATTTTTGTTATTGTTTATGTCGTTTTTTGTTGTTGTATGTTGCTGTTATCGCTTTTGTTGTTTGTCGTTTTTCTTTGTTGTTGCTGTTATTTGTTGCTGCTTTTGCTGATGTTTTTTTGTTCATTGCTGTTATTGTTTCTATTGTTTTGTTTGTTATTCATTTCTTGTTGCTTGTTGCTGTTACCGTCTTTGTTATTATTGTTGCTGTTGCTCATTGTTATTTGCTGCTTGTTGTTGTTGGTAACTTGCATTCATTCCCTGGTAAGGTCTTCCATGCAGTGTTCACTAACACGCAGTGCATTGTGGGCCAAAATATAATAAATACATTACGTGACAGAAATGAAAAAAGTGTTGGTAGTGAATAACATTCACATGTGTGTAAGACAAATGTGATATTTAAGTAAACATTGGTGAAGGAGACGTAGCGCCCGCAAGGGACGTCATCAGTCCGGTGCTGGTTGTGTTGGGGCGGGGGGATGGGGCGCTAAGAGATGGCTGAGTACATCCACCTGACAATCTGATACCAGCACCCATGTATGTGTGCTTCCTAGACCAGCACCCATGTATGTGTGCTTCGTAGACCAGCACCCATGTATGTGTGCTTCGTAGACCAGCACCCATGTATGTGTGCTTCGTAGACCAGCACCCATGTATGTGTGCTTCCTAGACCAGCAAACCCTGTATGTGTGCTTCCCAGACCAGCACCCATGTATGTGTGCTTCCTAGACCAGCACCTATGTATGTGTGCTTCCTAGACCAGCACCCATGTATGTGTGCTTCCTAGACCAGCATCCATGTAGTGTGCTTCCTAGACCAGCACCCATTTATGTGTGTTTCCTAGACCAGCACCCCTGTATGTGTGCTTCGTTTACCAGCACCCATGTATGTGTGCTTCCTAGACCAGCACCCATGTATGTGTGCTTCCTAGACCAGCACCCATGTATGTGTGCTTCCTAGACCAGCACCCATGTATGTGTGCTTCGTTTGACCAGCACCCATGTTATGTGCTTCCTAGACCAGCACCCATGTATGTGTGCTTCCCAGACCAGCACCCCTGTATGTGTGCTTCCAGACCAGCCCCCCATGTATGTGTGCTTCCTAGACCAGCACCCATGTATGTGTGCTTCCTAGACCAGCACCCATGTATGTGTGCTTCCTAGACCAGCACCCATGTATGTGTGCTTCCTAGACCAGCACCCATGTATGTGTGCTTCCTAGACCAGGACCCATGTATGTGTGCTTCCTAGACCAGCACCCATGTATGTGTGCTTCCTAGACCAGCACCCATGATGTGTGCTTCCTAGGACCCGGACCCATGTTGTGTGCTTCCTAGACCAGCACCCATTTTATGTGTGCTTCCTAGACCAGCACCCATGTATGTGTGCTTCCTAGCCCAGCACCCAGTATGTGTGCTTCCTAGACCACACCCATGTAGTGTGCTTCCTAGACCAGCACCCATGTATGTGTGCTTCCTAGCCCAGCACCCATGTATGTGTGCTTCCTAGACCAGCACCCATGTATGTGTGCTTCCTAGACCAGGACCCATGTATGTGTGCTTCCTAGACCAGCATCATGTATGTGTGCTTCCTAGACCAGCACCCATGTATGTGTGCTTCCTAGACCAGCACCCATGTATGTGTGCTTCCTAACCAGCACCCCTGTATGTGTGCTACCTAGAAACCCGCCCCATGATGGTTGCTTCCTAGCCCAGCACCCATGTATGTGTGCTTCCCAGACCAGCCCCCATGTATGTGTGCTACCTAGACCAGCAAACCCCTGTATGTGTGCTTCCCAGACCCGCACCCATGTATGTGTGCTTCCTAGACCAGCACCCATGTATGTGTGCTTCCTAGACCAGCACCCATGTATGGTGCTCCTAGACCAGCACCCATGAAAGTGTGCTTCCTGCCAGCACCCATGTATGTGTGCTTCCTAGACCAGCACCCATGTATGTGTGCTTCCTAGACCAGCACCCATGTATGTGTGCTACCTAGACCAGCACCCATGTATGTGTGCTTCCTAGCCCAGCACCCATGTATGTGTGCTTCCTAGACCAGCATCCATGTATGTGTGCTTCCTAGACCAGCACCCATGTATGTGTGGGTTCCTAGACCAGCACCCATGTATGTGTGCTTCCTAGACCAGCACCCCTGTATGTGTGCTACCTAGACCAGCACCCAATGTATGTGTGCTTCCTAGACCCAGCACCCATGTATGTGTTTCTTCCTAGACCAGCATCCATGTATGTGTGCTTCCCAAAACCAGCACCCATGTATGTGTGCTTCCTAGACCAGCACCCATGGAATGTGTGGGTTCCTAGACCAGCACCCATGTATGTGTGTTCCTAGCCCAGCACCCATGTATGTGGTTCCTAGACCGCATCCATGTATGTGGCTTCCTAGACCAGCACCCATGTTGTGTGCTTCCTAGACCAGCACCCATGTATGTGTGCTTCCTAGACCAGCATCCATGTATGTGTGCTTCCTAGACCAGCACCCATGTATGTGTGCTTCCTAGACCAGCATCCATGTATGTGTGCTTCCTAGACCAGCACCCATGTATGTTGGCCCTTCCTAGACCAGCATCCATGTATGTGTGCTTCCTAGACCAGCACCCCCTGTATGTTGCTTCCTAGACCAGCACCCATGTATGTGTGCTTCCTAGCCCAGCACCCATGTATGTGTGCTACCTAGACCAGCACCAATGTATGTGTGCTACCAAGACTAGCACCCATGCATGTGTGCTACCTAGACCAGGACCCGTGTATGAGTTAATGAGACCAGTAGCCACGTATGAATTAATTTAGACCTGTCTCCTGGTGCAGCGGTGGCGCAGCACACAACCTAGCAGGAACTTTGGCACAATACCTCTCATACTCTTAGACACGATCAGCCCTGCTCACATCTAACACTGGTGTTCTTTTTGACAAGATTTGAAGTGCCAGTGTTATGGACAAGAAACTCTCAAGTTAGAACATAACATCTTCGCTCACTAGGGTTCCCACTATACAAGCCATCGCTCTACTCCTTTAAAATTTACTCTCGATCTGGACCATCTGTCATCTAAGGATTTCGTCGGCATTGTTGAGCTGGGCTTCGATTCATCCGTCAGTGCGGTCCTAGTTAATAACTTATAAATGGATCACCTGAAGGTGGAGAGGTTGGAACCGCACATCACAAACGGAGGAAAGTGGCTACGATGTGACTGATATCATATTCATTGTACTCAAGGGACTCGACGCAATTGTACTCTTTAATAAAAACAATTTTGTAGAAAACTCAGTTAAGTTCATCATGGAGGATAAAAAAATAAGACGTCTACTCTTCAAGACACATTACTGTGCAAAAACAATAATACATTTGATTTCAGGAAACCACAAAGACGAACTATTACTCTTCCTGTCTCACCATGACATGAGAATAGAGACAAGTCATCACAAGATTATACACTGAGAGAATATAGGATCACTTGCACTGCTTTCCCAGAAGAGTAATAATGTGACTACATACTTCAAGCCTTTACCAGACTTAAAAGCTGAACACATTTCACCAATAATTGCTTAAGAAAAAACGAGAAAATCATCCGCATAACCTGACACAGTCACCTAGTACTACTAATCAGCCAATCATCAAACACTATCTCAATCATTCATGCCAAAATAAAACTTTATAAACCATCACAGCCACCATCACATCCATCACAGCCCCCATCACATCCATCATAGCCACCATCACATCCATCACAGCCACCAAACACATCCCTCACAGCCACCATCACATCCATCACAGCCCCCATCACATCCATCACAGCCACCATCACATCCATCACAGCCACCATCACATCCATCATAAGCCACCCTCACATCCCTCACAGCCACCATCACATCCATCATAGCCACCATCACATCCATCACAGCCCCCATCACATCCATCGCAGCCACCATCACATCCATCACAGCCACCATCACATCCATCATAGCCACCATTACATCCATCACAGCCACCATCACATCCATCACAGCCACCATCACATCCATCACAGCCACCATCACATCCATCACAGCCACCATCACATCCATCACAGCCACCATCACATCCATCACAGCCACCATCACATCCATCATAGCCACCATCACATCCATCATAGCCACCATCACATCCATCACAGCCACCATCACATCCATCGCAGCCACCATCACATCCATCACAGCCACCATCACATCCATCACAGTCAAGGACTTGGTATGAAAAAGGAACTCACACAATAAAGACTAGTGCTGACATCTATACCATCCCAGGGATAAGGCGGGACTGAAACATACGTAAGTATAAATGTCAAAGGCATGAAACAAGCAATGCCTGCACTAGATACTGAAATTCCTAAATATGCCAGATTACTCATTACAGAAACTGTCTAGCACAGGGGCGCTGTTTAAAATCAGCTCTCAAAGAAATAGCAATCTCATGTAATTTTGACATTTTTATGATTTCAGAAGTTCTAGCCAGGCTCCTTCAGCACAAAGTAGACATATCTGTCACTTAACCCTCTCCTCATGTTCAGCACCTGACCATGATCCAGAATATACTCCATAAACTTTGGTTTTCTGTACTGCACTGATAAATCCCCTGAACGGCGAAACGTCTCCTTAATAAATATCCTAATACTACATTTGTATCTTACTTTCAAAGAGTCTTGCATCAAAAATATAACAAATAAAGTATGTGACAAAAAATGTAGTATCATTATCTTTAATATTAAATCATTAACTTCATCTTAATTAATGTGGAAACTGACGAGAGTAAGTGATCACACTAGACATTACAACTGCTGTCTCTACGTTGTTCTGTTTAGTCACCCTATCTTATTGTGTGTTGTAAACTAACACAACACAAAATTTTGTACCGTAACTTGGCAACTCGTCTTTACCTCGCAAAAAACCTAGAGTAATAGAAGTTCCTTTGATTCTTTATAAGCTAAGATCGCAAGCTCTGTCTGAAAAGTCGGAAATTTACACAAATAGCTGTTAACCTGTCTGTCTAACGTATACAATACGTAACTGGAAGGGGGATGGGGCGCCCTGAAACACAGCCACGACATATTTTTACAGAATAACTTATGAACATTCTCTCTAAACCTAGATGACATGATGAGTTTGACTCGTAAGATTAATACAGCATTTTGATTTTGAAGTATCTCCTTGTGATTCTTGTTTACTAAAGACAGGTTCATCATCATCATAGCAGAAAATCGTTGCATCTCTTGCAGGGAGATAATCTCTAGTAACTAATATTACTTCATTCTCTGACAAGAACATGTTGAGTCTTCAGTAGCTTCATTAATCTGACCACAAAATGAGCAAATTTAAGCTGGCGAAGAGGCACAAATGCAGTGGAAACCTTCATGTGCACAACGTTTCATCTAAAACTACTGGATGAACCCCGATGTTGAGTGAAACTGTATAAAGGATTCCACAGTATTAATGTCTTTCCATCAACTGTCTTCATCTTGCCATTGTCTCCACCACATCTGAGTCACACAACTGTTTTGCCTACACTGCAGAACATAGACTAGTAGACTGTAGACTAGCGTTACAAGACGCCGAAGAATCTCATGGTGAGTGAAAACTCCAGACCAGTGCATAGTCCACTGTATCAGCTGGCTACAATAAGATTTATCCAACTAGGTATATTTTACACACCATACCTTTGACCTTTAATATACCTTTGAAGAATTTCGAGAGTATATCTACTCTCTGAGCCCGGCCATGGGCCAGGCTCGTCTGTTGCTCGCCTGGTCAACCAGGCTGTTGCTGCTGGAGGTCCGTTGCCCCACATATCCATCACAGCCTGGTTGATCTGGCACCTGGTGAAGATACTTGTCTAGTTTCCTCTTAAAGGCTTCAACACTTGTTCCAGCAGTGTTTCTGTTATCTTCTGGTAAGATGTTGAAAAGTCTTGGACCCTGGATGTTGATACAGTGCTCCCTTATTGTCCTCACCGCACTCCTGCTCCTCACTGGGTTTATTTTACACTTCCTCCAATATCTCTCACTCCAGTATGTTGTTATGGCAGTGTGCAGATTTGGGACCAAATCCTCCAGTACCTTCCAGGTATATATTATCATGTACCTCTCTCTCCTCCGCTCCAATGAGTACATGTTCAAGACTTGCAGGCGTTAAAAGTAGTTTAGGTGTTTTACTGGCTCAATGTGAACCGTAAACGATCTCTGTATTTGTTCCAGCTACGATATTTCTCCTGCCCTGAACGGGGCCGTCAGCACTGAGCAATATTCTAAGTGAGGGAGCACTAGCGATTTGAAGAGTGTCACCATCGGCAGTTTCCCTTGTTTTGAAAGTTCTCAATACCCACCCAGTCATCTTCCTGGCTGTGTGATCTTTGTCTTGTTATGGCCTTTAAAGGAAAGGTCAGCTGGCATAATTATTCCTAGGTCTTTTACTTGTTCGTTACGTTCTATTTGGTGACCCTATTGAGCTTTGTATATAGTGCTCCTTTTGATTTCTTCATTCTTTCCATACCTAAACAGTTGGAACTTATCACCATTGAACGTCATGTTGTTTTCCACTGCCCACTGGAAAACCCTGTTTATGTCTTCCTGTACTTTTTCAGGGTGTATAAATATATTATAGGTTCAACCCCCACTTGTTCCTTGGTTCGTTTGCAATCGTGTTATTATGATTTCGTGAGTCAAGACGCCAAACAGTTTTTGCCTTCCTGACGCATGTCTCGTGCCGAAGGTTCACCGATTTATCTCACTCACTGGAATTCTAGGAGGAACTTCACTAAGGGACGATAAACAAGGTCTCTCGCGTTCTCCGCCCACATGAAGTCCAGGTGGTTGAATTCTCTCAGCGGAACCCGGTAGTAGAGTGCAACCCAGGGCAGCTCCGATGCTGTCTGTTGTACGTCCTGCAACACAGAAGAATTTAACATAACATACACCTCAACACAGGAGAATTAATCATAACATACACATGAGAATTAGCTAAAACAAACACAAGAAAATTAGTTATAACATACATGAGAATTAGTCATAACATACACTGCAACACAGAGGAATCAGATTATAACAATTTTTCTTTAAAGTGCCTCAAAGCAATTGCCATTTATGGTTGCCACAATTAAGGTATCAACACAATACAGAATATAACTATTGTAACATATTAAGAGACAACTATAGTAGTCACAGTGAAACCACAAACAGGATTTGATCCAAGCCAAAGGTTATAGATCACACAACGTAGGCATCAGCGGTGGCGTTAGCAATGGTAGCATCAACAACAGCAGCATTAGAAATGGTGATGTCAGATGCAGCAACAGTAGTGATAACAACGATGGCAGCATCACAGACATTCAAGGTCCCTCAAAAATTGAATGGGTCCCCAGTTTTCTCTTGGTGTTTGTATAGGGATCACCCAGTTGCATCTTTCTCTGTATACACAAAACTGCGATAAAACACCTCATTTACTGGGAACAGTTAAGTTCCTCAACCTGTACTCCCTAGAACGCAGGTTTGAGAGATACATGATTATATACATTTGGAAAATCCTAGAGGAATTAGTACCAAACTTGCACCCGAAAATCACTCCCTATAAATGCAAAAGACTCGGCAGAAAATGCAACATCCCCCAAGTGAAAAGCAGGGGTGCCACTAGCACGATAAGATTGACAACACAGTAAGAGTCAGGGGCCCAAGACTGTTCAACTGCCTCCCAACATACATAAGGGGAATTACCAAAAGACCCCTGGGTGTCTTCAAGAAGGAGCCGGACAGGCACCTACAGTCAGTATCTGACCAGCCGGGCTGTGGTTCGTACGTCGGGTTCTGTGCGGCCAACAGTAACAGCCTGATTGATCAGGCCCTGATTCACCATGAGGCCTGGTCACAGACCCGGCCGCGGGGGCGTTGATCCCCGAAACCTTCTCCAGGTATGTAAACTTTCCGACTTTTCTCGTCCTGACCATTTAGGTTCTCGAATTTGATCTTGCTGTGGGGCCCACCGAAATTTTTTCTTGGGGTCAATTTAGGAGCCCCAGAATCTCCTCTTGTTGGAGGGGGTCTCCCAGTTTTCTCTTTGTCTTTGTATACTGGCAGTCCAGTTGGATCATTCTTCGTGTGTGGGCTTTCCGATTTGTCTCTTCCTGGCCATTTAGGTTTTCCCCAATTTTGCTCATGGTGTGGGCCTTCCGACATTTTTCTTGGGGGTCTATTTAAGAGCCCCAGAATCTGCTCTTGCTGTGAGGGAACCCAGTTTTCTCTTGGTGCTTGTATAGGGGCCGCCTGGTTGGATCTTTATTCGTATGTGGAGTTTCTAATTTTTCTCGTCCTGGCCATTTAGGTTTCCTCCGAGTTTGCTCTTGCTGTGGACCCTCCGATATTTGTCTTGGGGTCTACATAAGAGTCCCATGATCTGTTGTTGCTGTGGGGATCCACAGTTTTCGTATGGTGTTGGTATAGAGGCAGCCCAGTTGGATCTATCTTTATATGAGGGCTTTCAGAGTTTTCTCTTCCTGGCCATTTAGGTTTCCCCACCGTAAGTGGGCTTTCCGATTTTTTTTTGTGGATTCGGAAAAGGCATATGACAGAGTGGATAGGAGAGCAATATGACAGATGTTGCAAGTGTATGGAATAGGTGGTAAGTCACTGAAAGCAGTTTAGAGTTTTTCCAAGGATAGTGAGGCTCAGGTTAGAGTATGTCCGAGTGAGGGAGATTATTTCCCAGTAAAAGTAGGCCTTAGACAGGTATGCGTGATGTCACCATGGTTGATCAGTATATTTATAGATGGGGTTGCAAGAGAAGTGAACGCTCGGGTGTTCGGAAGAAGTGTGGGATTAAGAGATAAAAAATCTAGCACAAAGTGGAAGTTGTCACAGTGTCTTTTTTGCTGATAACACTGTGCTTTTGGGAGATTCTGAAGAGAACTTACAGAGTTTCATGGACGAATTTGGGAGGATGTGTAAAGGAAATTAAAAGCGAACATATGAAAGAGCAAGGTGACGAGGATAACAACAATGAAAGATTGGATATCAGATTGGAAGAAGGAGGTATGGATAAAGTAAATGTGTTAGATATTTGGGAGAGGACTTGTCAGCAGATGGTTCTATGAAAGACGAGGTTAACCATAGAACTGACGAGGGATAAAAAGTGAGTGTGCACCGAGGAATCTGAGGAGGCAAAGAACGAGACCATAGTTTTGCCGAATGCTCTCATGAAGAATGGGTGGAGGGGTGAATGTTGTAATAACGAGACAGCGGGTCTCTGAGGGCAATGTATGGTGTGAATATTAAACAGAGAATCCGTAGTTTGGTGATTAGAAGGTGTGGAGTTTCTAAAAGTACTATCCAGAAGACTGAGGAGGGGTTGTTGAGATGGTTCGGACATTTAAAGAGGATGGAACAAAATAGAATGACTTGGAGGGTCTATAAATCTGTAGTGGAAGGAAGTCAAGGCAGAGGTCGTCCTAGGAAAGCTTGGAGGGACTGGGTAAAGGAGGTTTTGTGTGCTAGGGGCTTAGACTTCCAGCAAGTGTGCAGGAGTGTGTTAGATAAGGGCGAGTGTGAGCAAAGTAACATTTATCAAGGGATTCAGGGAAACCGGTTAGCCAGACTTGAATCTTGGACGTGGGAAGTACAGTGCCTGCACCCTGAAGGAGGGGTGGAGATATGTTGCAGTTTTTTAATTGTAGTGTCGACATGCCTCTGGCAAGACTGTAAAGGAGTGAATGATGATGAAAGTGGTTCTTGTTTTTCTGGTCACACTGCCTCGGTTTGAAACGGCCTATGTGTTAATAAAAAAATATAAATAACAATAATCAAGTCATCTCACCTTTTTATCAACGATCCAGTCATTGTCAGAGTAGATAAGACCGACAGGCACGTTCACACGGCTGAGGGGAAAGGCAGGTGGCGAGGTGGTGCCATACTGGACCAGGTTCTCAGCCTCGCCATAGTCAAAGGCCTGGAACCTGCCTGAAACAAGAACATATCTCATTAATAGGTGTGATTATAACAGTGACCTGAATATTAAGGTGAAGGTGAGCAGTTGAACAGTGTCGTAGTAACTGATGGAGATGGTGGGTGCATGTAGATGGTGAGCAGATGAAAATTAAGGTTTATGGGATTATTTTGTTACGGAGTGTTTTGTCTTGGCAATATGATTTATTGAACTGTGTGGATGTTAATTTGTCATTTTTTTAAATTTTTATCAAATTGGATTTGCAGAGAATTTTAAGCAGAATGTGAATGAGAAACGCAAACTTGCCTTCAATTTTTTTTTTTCGGTGTGATTACTGGAGAAAGGCGCCTCTGGTCGGTCATTCCGCCATTTTTAAACTCGAAATGGTACCTTACGGCATTATTTTCCCCCTTGATGCTGGCGATGGGCTCTTGATCCAAGGAACTGAGCATATTTTTCCCCTTAGATCGAATTTAAATTCCTCCCATTCTATAGGAGCTCTATGACTCCTACGGGTTTAGTACTTTATTCTGATTAAAATATTGCAATTATGAACGGCATCATTCTTCAGCGGTTGATGCAGTTTATGTAATACGTCCAAAGTTTCCTGGGTTTAGGCTGTATGGGCACAAATTTTGTTGGGTTCTGTGAAATAACTGGAAAATGCATTTTCTGGTCAGCTTGAAACTTTTAGTGCTGAAATAAGACAAGATTTGCCACCTCTGATCCCGTGCTGGTTAATCTCTAGTAGAGCGCTTCTCTCCAAGTGCTCTACCATGCTCCTTCTGACACTCTTCATTACCTTGCATGGTATACAAGTCACTGAAACTGATTTGTACTTTGGAACTATCAGACTACAAATCTACGAATACTACAAAAACTACAAATATTGGGACTACATTCACTTTCTTCCAAAACTCTGGTAACTATGCTGTATCCAGATGTATGCTAGCTGTATGGACAGTGCTTTTGCTCCCTCTCACCAAACCCATGGTGACACCTTGTCAGGTCCCATTGTTTCTGATGTGTCCAGTTCCATCAGGAGTAGTTTTTACCTCTTCCTGTTGTGTGTATGGCGTCCGGTACCTGGAGGTACACGCTTTCTCCTAGACTTCCTGGTATTATCCTAGTTTCCACTGAGAAAGCTTCTTCGAATCGTTTGTTCAATACTTCATCATTCATGAGCTCTCCTCCTTCCTTCTTGAGTCGAATTACCTTGTCTTGTGCTGCCGTCTTCTGATGTGGTTGTGAAGTAGGTTTGGTTCAGACTTGGCCTTTGCTGCTATATTTTCAAATTGTAGTTCATCCTTTGTCCTCACCCATTGTCCTCACCCTTTGTCCTCAACCTTTGTCCTCACCCTTTATCCTCACCCTTTGTCCTCACCCTTTGTCCTCACCCTTTGTCCTCACCCTTTATCCTCACCCTTTGTCCTCACCCTTTGTCCTCACCCTTGCATATTTACTTTTGATTAATCTGCTCACTTCCGTGTGTTTGTGTGTACTCACCATTTTGTACTCACCTATTTGTGGTTGCAGGGGTCGAGTCTTAGCTCCTGGCCCCGCCTCTTCACCGGTTGCTACTGGGCCCTCTCTCTCCCCGCTCCATGAGCTTTATCAAACCTCGTCTTAAAACTGTGTATGGTTCCTGCCTCCACTACGTCATTTTCTAGGCTATTCCACTGCCTTACAACTCTATGACTGAAGAAATACTTCCTAATATCTCTCTGACTCATTTGTGTCTTCAACTTCCAATTGTGGCCTCTTGTTTCTGTGTCCCCTCCCTGGAACATCCTGTCTTTGTCCACCTTGTCTATTCCACGCAGTATTTTATATGTCGTTATCATGTCTCCCCTGACCCTCCTGTCCTCCAGTGTCGTCAGGCCGATTTCCTTAATCTTTCTTCATAGGACATTCCCCTTAGCTTTGGAACTAACCTTGTCGCAAACCTTTGTACTTTCTCTAGTTTCTTGACGTGCTTTATCAAGTGCGGGTTCCAAACAGGTGTTGCATACTCCAGTATGGGCCTGACATACACGGTGTACAGTGTCTTGAACGATTCTTTACTAAGGTATCGGAATGCTGTTCTCAGGTTTGCCAGGCGCCCATATGCTGCAGCAGTTATCTGATTGATGTGTGCTTCCGGAGACATGCTCGGTGTTATACTCACCCCAAGATCTTTCTCCTTGAGTGAGGTTTGCAGTCTTTGGCCACCTAGCCTATACTCTGTCTGTGGTCTTCTGTGCCCTTCCCCTATCTTCATGACTTTGCATTTGGCAGGATTAAATTCGAGAAGCCATTTGCAGGACCAGGTGTCCAGTCTGTCCAGGTCTCTTTGAAGTCCTGCCTGGTCCTCATCTGATTTAATTCTCCTCATTAACTTCACATCATCTATAAACAGGGACACTTCTGAGTCTAACCCTTCCATCATGTCGTTCACATATACCAAAAATAGCACTGGTCCTAGGACCGACCCCTGTGGGACCCCGCTCGTCACAAGTGCCCACTGTGATACATCATTACGTACCATGACTCGTTGTTGCCTCCCTGTCAGGTATTCTCTGATCCATTGCAGTGCCCTTCCTGTTATATGCGCCTGATGCTCTAGCTTCTGCACTAATCTCTTGTGAGGAACTGTGTCAAAGGCCTTCTTGCAGTCCAAGAAGATGCAATCAACCCACCCTTCTCTCTCGTGTCTTCTGTTATTTTATCATAAAACTCCAGAAGGTTTGTGACACAGGATTTGCCTTCCATGAATCCGTGCTGGTTGGCATTTATACTCTTGTTCCGTTCCAGGTGCTCCACCACTCTCCTCCTGATAATCTTCTCCATAACTTTGCATACTATACACGTCAATGACACAGGTCTATAGTTTAGTGCCTCTTTTCTGTCTCCTTTTTTAAAAATGGGAACTACATTTGCCGTCTTCCATACCTCAGGTAGTTGCCCAGTTTCCAGGGACGTGTTGAAGATTGTGGTAAGTGGCACGCACAACATATCTGCTCCTCTCTAAGAACCACGGGGAGATGTTGTCCGGTCCCATTGCCTTTGAGGTATCGATGTCCCTTAGCAGTTTCTTCACCTCCTCTTCATCTGTATGTATGTCGTCCAACACTTGTTGGTGTATTCCTTGCTGGTGTCCCCATCTGGTCTGTCCCCCCAGAGTCCTTCCTGTCTCTACTGTAAATACTTCCTTAAATATCGTGTTGAGCTCCTCACATACCTCTTGATCGTTTCTTGTGAGTTCTCCACCTTCTTTCCTCAGCCTTATCACCTGGTCCTTGACTGTTGTCTTCCTCCTAATGTGGCTATACAGCAGTTTCGGGTCAGATTTGACTTTCGATGCTATGTCGTTTTCATACTGTCGCTGGGCCTCCCTCCTTATCTGAGCGTACTCATTTCTGGCTCTTCTACTAATCTCCTTGTTTTCCTGGGTCCTATGCCTCCTGTACCTTTTCCATTCTCTGTTGCACTTAGTTTTTGCCTCCCTACACCTTCGGGTAAACCAAGGACTCGTTTTGGTCTTCCTATTATTTCTGTTTCCCTTGGGAACAAACCTTTCCTCTGCCTCCTTGCACTTTGTTGCCACATATTCCATCATCTCGTTTACTGATTTTCCTACCTTTTCTCTGTCCCAATGAACCTCCTGCAGGAAGTTTCTCATACCTGTGTAGTCCCCCCTTTTATAGTTTGGCCTGTCCCCTTCAGTTCCTGTTACCTTCTCCACTTGTAACTCTACTATATAATCAAAACTCAGAACCACGTGATCGCTAGCTCCAAGGGGCCTCTCGTAAGTGATGTCCTCAATGTCTGAACTGCTCAGGGTGAACACAAGATCCAGTCTTGCTGACTCATCCTCCCCTCTCTCTCTGGTTGTGTCCCTGACATGTTGATGCATGAGGTTTTCAAGTACCACATCCATCATCTTGGCTCTCCATGTTTCGGGACCCCCATGTGGCTCCAGGTTTTCCCAGTCGATCTCCCTGTGGTTGAAATCGCCCATTACCAGTAACTTTGCTCTGCTCGAGTGAGCTCTTCTTGCCACCTCAGCCAGTGTGTCCACCATCACCCTGTTGTTTTCTTCGTACTCCTCTCTAGGCCTCCTGCAGTTCTGTGGTGGGTTATACATCACTCCAATGACTACTTTATGTTCTCTGGACTGAATTGTACCTACAATGTAGTCTCTTTCTCCAATCATGTCCATGCCTTCCATTTCCTCAAATCCCCATCGGTGTTTTATGAGCAGTGCAACCCCTCCTCTCCCTCTACTCCTTCTATCTTTCCTCAGGATCTGATATCCCGTTGGGAAGATTGTGTCTGTTATTGTCTCAGCGAGTTTTGTTTCTGTGACTGCTATGATGTCTGGGGATTTCTCACTGATTCTTTCGTTCCACTCCTCATGTTTATTCGTTATTCCATCCGCGTTTGTGTACCAAGCTTTCAGTTTCTTTTCTATCATTGTGGTCATGCAAGAATATTGGGGTTGTGGGAGCGAGAGCCTTGGGGGGGGGGGCTTATATATGGGGCTGTGGTGTAGGTGGGGTTTGTGATGATGGGGGTGGGGTCAGAATGCCCATAAGGGACAGCTGTTGGGGTGAGGTTTGTGATATGGGGGTTGGTGGCAGAGGGAACAGTGAGTGGGTTGTAGTATAGGTTGCTCAGTTGCGTTGGGAATGTCGCAGTTGGAGTCTTTTGGTGGGAGATTCTGTGGGGTTGTGTTTGCCCTTCCTCCTGTGTCTGGTCCTGCTCATCTTTGTCATTGCCTCTCGTTCCTCCTTGCGTCTCTGTACCCTCTCTTTCAGTGTAGTCCTTTCTTCTTGTGTTCTGTCGCGGTCGAGGTATACTCTTGTACCCCTGTTTGTCCCTCAGTCTTGCTTTTTTCTTGCAGAATCCTGGTTCGAATGATTTTTCCCTTGAAAATTACTTTGACAGGCCTTTACCCTTTCCCACTCGAAAACCACCCAATTCTCTGAAAATTTGTCACCGGGGTTTCATTTTCGCCCTCACCTATTGTTTTCATGATTGCCTTCAATCATTTTTTTCTCCTCCTGTTTTATTTCTTCGAAGTTGTCCCCCTTGGCTTCTTGGAGCCCGTACACAAAAACTGACCTCGCCCTTTCCTCCTCCCACTGAGTCTCCATCTGCTTCCTCTGAGGCATTTTATTTCCTTCCATTGACATGTTCTTTCCTTCGTCCTGTCATATCTGAAATTCTATTCTCAGTGAACTGTCTTTCATGACTAGCTGTCCCTTGCTACTGCAGTTGGCTGATAGGGCCTTCGCGTATGGCATGTCTCCGTTGTTGCTTACTGTCCCCTTGTCTGCACCTGACATTGATTTCTGATGTCACATCTGGGAATTTTCATTTGTCTCTCTAATCTGTTTCAGGCTTTGCAGTTTCTCTTCTAAGCACTGTATCCTAGCTTCTGCTGCTAAGACCTGTACTTCCCACTTCCTGCACTCTTCAGCTATCCGCTCCTCCATTTTCTTACCAAGCTCTACTATCTTCCTTCCCCACTCTTCCTCCCTTTTGCTCTTCCCTTTTCTTTTTTTTTTTTTTTTTTTTTTTTTTTTTTTTTTTTTTTTTTTTACCACAGACAGAAGGCTAGAGGAGGGAGAGGGTGAGAGGGGGAGAGAGAAAGGGTAGAAAGAGGGAGAGAGAGGAGAGAGTATGGGGGTGAGGGATAAGACCAAGGGGGAGAGAGAAATGTGAGGGGGGAGAGAAAGGGTAGAGAGAGGGAGAAATGAGGAGAGAGAGAGAGAGAGAGAGAGAGGAGAGAGAGAGAGAGAGAGAGAGAGAGAGAGAAAGGAAGGAGAAAGGAGGTGAGGGAAAAGGCTATGAGAGCGAGAAATGCGAGGGAGGGGTAGAAATATAGAAAAAGGGAGATGGAGAGAGAAGCCTATAGAGAGAGAGGAGGGTGAGGGATAGGGTTATGGGAGAGAGAGAGAGAGAGAGAGAGAGAGAGAGAGAGAGAGAGAAGAGAGAGAGGGAAGGAGGGAAAAAGAGAGAGAGAGAAAGAGAGAGTAGGGGGAAGGGGAGGGAAAAAGGCTATGAGAGAGAGAAACGCGAGGAAGGGGGAGAGAGAAAGATAGGAGGGAGGAGGGAGTGAAAGCAAGAGCGGGGGAGGGGAAAGGTCTGTGGGGGAGGGAAAGGTGTGTGTGTGTGTGTGTGTGTGTGTGTGTGTGTGTGTGTGTGTGTATTCTTACCTATTTGTTCCTACCTATTTGTGGTTACAGGGGTCGATTCATATCTCCTGGACTCGCCTGTTCACTTTGTGTGTGTGTGAACCTGATGATCATATCTGGTTGGTTTACAAGACAAACTGCACTGTTTACATTATTCGATGAATGGTGCAGTGAAGGGATGTAAGTTTGAGTGGCAAATATGAACGATACTCCAGCTCAAATACACAAAAGCTTGTTTCAACTGCACTATATTGTCACAGTACACAAGTTAAACACAAAAGAGATCTATTATAACTCTATTACGCCTGAAACTGAAATAATATTACATATTACATCACAAAATGAGAGTATGTAAGCTATATAACAAGACAAATTCACAAAATATAACACTATGGAGAGACTCAAGAGCTTGAGCTCGGCTGATCGTCCAGACGAGCTATGAATACATAATGCCGTATCATATTCAAGTGGAGGGTTATACATAGCCTGAGAAATGGATCAAAAGCCGATAACGAGCAACGAGCCACCCTAACTGAAGAGTACAGGATTCCTTAACAGTTTGTGTTGGGTAACTGGATAATTAACAACTTCAAGACATGTCATTTCTACTGCACTTCGCTCACCAGCAACTGTGTCAAGCTAGGTGCTGGTTCGATAAAGTTCCTGATGGGGGAGGGGGAGCGTAGCCGTGACAAAATGGCCCTGCAGGACAGTATTGAGAAGCGACTTTAGAGTGAAGCACTGGGGGTGTACAGACGACAGCATGAGCAACACAGAGTGAAGCACTGGGGGTGTACAGACGACAGCATGAGTAACACAGCGAAGCACTAGGGGTGTACAGACGACAGCATGAGTAACACAGAGTGAAGCACTGAGGTTACAAAGACGACAGCATGAGTAACACAGAGTGAAGCACTGAGGTTACAAAGACGACAGCATGAGCAACACAGAGTGAAGCACTGAGGTTATAAAGACGACAGCATGAACAACACAGACTGAAGCACTGGTGTTGTACAGACGACAGCATGAGCAACACAGTGAAGCACTGAGGTTGTAAAGACGACAGTATGAGCAACTTACGTGCAGTGTAGATCTGCAGGAGGTGGACGAACACTCTCAGGCCCGTGCCTGCTGGTGTGTGCGCGAAGATTACCGGCAAGTACTCCTGTGGACGGCAGAAGAACAAAGTAGAGATCTTGAGAAAGCTGAGTTAAGATCCCTCTAAAGTTGACTCTAAATATACGTTCTAGCGATAAATGTGCTGAAGGCGACTAGTGCTATGACGAGTGTTGTGAAGATGTGACGGTGTTGTGAAGATGTGACGGTGTTGTGAAGATGTGACGGGTGTTGTGAAGATGTGACGGTGTTGTGAATGTGTGACGGTGTTGTGAAGATATGACAGGTGTTGTGAAGATGTGACGGTGTTGTGAAGATGTGACGAGTGTTGTGAAGATGTGACGGTGTTGTGAAGATGTGACGGTGTTGTGAAGATGTGACGGTGTTGTGAAGATGTGACGGTGTTGTGAAGATGTGACGGTGTTGTGAAGATGTGACGGTGTTGTGGAAGATGTGACGGTGTTGTGAAGATGTGACGGTGTTGTGAAGATGTGACGGTGTTGTGAAGATGTGACGGTGTTGTGCAAATGTGACAGGTGTTGGGAAGATGTGACGGTGTTGTGAAGATGTGACGGTGTTGTGAAGTTGTGAAGATTTGACGGTGTTGTGAAGATGTGACGGTGTTGTGAAGATGTGACGGTGTTGTGAAGATGTGACGGTGTTGTGAAGATGTGACGGTGTTGTGAAGATGTGACGGTGTTGTGAAGATGTGACGGGTGTTGTGAAGATGTGACGGTGTTGTGAAGATGTGACGGTGTTGTGAAGATGTGACAGTGTGTTGTGAAGATGTGACGGTGTTGTGAAGATGTGACGGTGTTGTGAAGATGTGGACGGGTGTTGTGAAGATGTGACGGTGTTGTGAAGATGTGACGGTGTTGTGAAGATGTGACGGTGTTGTGAAGATGTGACGGTGTTGTGAAGATGTGACGGTGTTGTGAAGATGTGACGGTGTTGTGAAGATGTGACGGTGTTGTGAAGATGTGACGGTGTTGTGAGATGTGACGGTGTTGTGAAGATGTGACGGTGTTGTGAAGATGTGACGGTGTTGTGAAGATGTGACGGTGTGTGAAGATGTGACGGTGTTGTGAAGATGTGACGGTGTTGTGAAGATGTGACGGTGTTGTGAAGATGTGACAGGTGTTGTGAAGATGTGACGGTGTTGTGAAGATGTGACGGTGTTGTGAAGATGTGACGGTGTTGTGAAGATGTGACGGTGTTGTGAAGATGTGACGTGTTGTGAAGATGTGCGTGTTGAAGATGTGACGGTGTTGTGAAGATGTGACGTGTTGTGAAGATGTGACGGTGTTGTGAAGATGTGACGGTGTTGTGAAGATGTGACGGTGTTGTGAAGATGTGACGGTGTTGTGAAGATGTGACGGTGTTGTGAAGATGTGACGGTGTTGTGAAGATGTGACGGTGTTGTGAAGATGTGACGGTGTTGTGAAGATGTGACGGTGTTGTGAAGATGTGACGGTGTTGTGAAGATGTGACGGGTGTTGTGAAGATGTGACGGTGTTGTGAAGATGTGACGGTGTTGTGAAGATGTGACGGTGTTGTGAAGATGTGACGGTGTTGTGAAGATGTGACGGTGTTGGAAGATGTGACGGTGTTGTGAAGTGTGACGGTGTTGTGAAGATGTGACGGTGTTGTGAAGATGTGACGGTGTTGTGAAGATGTGACGGTGTGTGAAGATGTGACGGTGTTGTGAAGATGTGACGGTGTTGTGAAGATGTGACGGTGTTGTGAAGATGTGACGGTGTTGTGAAGATGTGACGGTGTTGTGAATGTGTGACGGTGTTGTGAAGATGTGACGATGTTGTGAAGATGTGACGGTGTTGTGAGATGTGACGGTGTTGTGAAGATGTGACGTGTTGTGAAGATGTGACGGTTTGTGAATGTGTGACGGTGTGTGAAGATGTGACGGTGTTGTGAAATGTGACGGTGTTTAAGTGTGACGAGTTGTGAAGTGTACGATGTGTGAAGATGTGACGGTGTTGTGAATGTGTGACGGTGTTGTAAGATTGCACGTGTTGTGAGATGTGACGGTGTTGTGAATGTGTGACGGTGTTGTGAGATGTGACGTGTTGTAAGATGTGACGTGTTGTGAAGTGTGACGCATGTTGTACAATTGACGTGTTGTGAAGATGTACGTGTTGTGAATGTGTACTGTTTGAAATGTGACGGTGTTGTGACGATGTGACGTGATTTGTTATGTGACGTTTTAAATTCTGTGTGATATTGACGGTGTTGTGAATGTGTGACTGGTGCTTGTCCTACACTTGACTATTTATTACTTCTCTATCATTGCATTCTTATCCCTATCAATTATATTCTTTTACTGTCCACTGATTCATGTCTCATTCACGGTCATTCTTGTGTCTACGCATTGGTCCTATCACTGCACTCTTGTACCTTTCTATCATATTCGGCTCCCATCCACTGCATTCTTGTATTTATCTGTGCATTCTTGTCTACTCATTCGGTCCCTATCTACAATGTTGGTCACATTCTGCTCATTGTTGTTATCACTGCATCTTCCCGACTACATTCTTGTCCTTTCTACTATATTCTGTATGTCAACAAACTGTTACATGTCTACACATCTGTCATTACCACTGCATATCTCTGTCTGCTGCAATGATAGTCCCTATGCGCTGCATTTCATTTCTGATCAACTTATTGTGTCCCATCAAACCGTCTTGCTGATCCTCTGCTTCTTGATCCCATCATTTGCTACTTGTCCATAATCTGTATCTTTACCTACTATTACATTTTGTCCCTATCTCTCATTCTGATCATCGCTACATTCTTGTCCTCCACTACTATATCATAGAGATAATACAACGATGACAGAACACACGTACTTACCCTGTCCAGAAAGTGCTGTCTCACCGGCACTATGATAAAGTGAAGGAAAGGGAAATGAAATTGGATGATTTGGACCACACAGAAAACCGTCGAACTCTGCGCGATCCGCAGTCAGTCGGAACATTTCCACAACCTTGTTACGTAGTCACTCTGCAACGGAAATTGACAAATAAGAATATGCGACGATGCTACAAATTGGGTGAAACGAGGTTTAGAAGGATAGCAATAGTGACAACAGTCGGCACATATGCACTGACAAAAAGAATGACAACAAATCGGGTAAATTCGGATTTAGGAAGGATGGTTGAAACTACAAGGTTGGTAAAAGAGTTGCAGTGAGAGTAAGAAACTGCCCATTAGAATCATTGAAGTGAATGTTTTGAGTACTTTTAAAATTAGATTAGAAAAATATGAGTGTGTATACTTGGGTGTAAGTTAAGATATGCCTAGCATGTGCCGGTAGATGACCAACACACCTGTGCAACACCTGGGTATCAACAAAGATACCCAGGTGTTGCACATAGTGTCTTAGTCATCAACTTGTCGGAATTATACCATTGATCTAATGCAGGATAGACAGGGAGGCCTAATGCAGTACTCCTCAATGTGTATTTGAATCTCTCTAATGCATGTTTCGACCACCAAATCTTCAGCAAGAGTTTAATCTCACAAATTATCTACAAATTGAATTTTAAAATCTGGACGATAGTTCAGGTCAAAGATGGACAGAAAATATTAAATTTTCATTTCCTGATTGTAGGTTAGTTTAACGTGTGCAGAACGTCAAGGAGAAGAACGACTTTAAATACTTCATTTCCTATTATAAGGCGACACTCAGAGTGCCTACTAATGTTTGTTGGAACACAGAGTGGATTTTTGTCCCAGTGCAAGCTTTGTCTTCAACGTGTATCATTGTCTTCATTAGTGTTGTCGCTGAATTGACGTTAATTGTAGTTTATTATGCGATGTTAGTGCAACCTGAAATTGACGTGTTACATACATGGAGGGGTGTCGGGGGTCAACGACCTCTCGGCCCGGTCCGTGACAAGGTCTCGTCATGTCATGTTCTACCTAAGCTTGTCGAATATTACGTGATGTCATTATTAGTTATGTAATGTTATTGTATACTGTGATGTGTTATTAAAGGCTCTTTGGTATTATGTCCCGTTTGATGTTATTACATTCTTTTTTGTCATAAATTGTTACATTGCGTTATTGTGCATTGCATTGTGGTATTATGTTATGTATGGTGTCATTACGTAATGTGTGTTTTTAGTTTACTTGGGGATACACGTCAGCTGATTCATGATTTAAACATTCTCTCCAATATTAAACCGGAGTTCCAGCAAGCGAAACTGGTTAGCCATGAAGTGCTTGGTCTTCCTGTTGTGGTTTATAGGGCCACTGACAGCTTATACCGTATCATCTTGCTATGCTTTATAGGGTTACTGACAACCTACGTTGTATCTTCTCATTGTGGTTTATAGGGCCATTGATAACTTATGCTGTATCTTGTTCTTGTAGTGGTGAAACATCTACAAATAAAGATACCCAGATGCTGCACATGTGTCTAATTTTCATCTTGTCGGTATTGTATACCATTTATGTACAACCTGTCAGACACTGCAACATCAGGGAATCTTGGTTCAGAGGACGTCTCCACAACCTTCTTCACTACCACTAACCCGTCCCTCGGGTATGACCTATTTTCACTGGAAAATCCCGCCTACCAGTGACAATGTCTTCGTCTGCTACCTATCCCTTACCACCTGACGCTAGTATATAAGCGCCAGCCTTCTTGCCTCTGCTCCAGATTCTTCACGACTACGGTGCTCAACCAACTCCAAGACTGAGGGACTGATTACCTCATCTTGTATATACTTCTACTGTCTTCCAATTACGTCCTTGAATTTGTATTGATAAAGCCACTGGATGGCGAAACGTCTACAATAAAGAAACCCTGATGTTGCACATGTCTAATTTTCGTCTTGTATCTTTTTATTGTGGTTTATAGAGCCACTTGTTCTTGTAGTGGCTTATAGAGCTACTGGCAGCTTATACTGTATCTTCTTATTGTAGTTCATAGAGCCACTAACACCTTATATCGTATCTCTTTGTTGTTTATAGTCACTGATAGCTGATGCCGTATTATCTTCATGCTGTGGTTTATAGGGCCAATGG